CTGGCTGGGGTCTAGCCTTGCTAATTGTGGCTGGGAGAAGCCTCCAGCTATTACAGCCTCTCAACATCTTCACGCAACCGGGCTCCGACTGAACCCCATCTGGAAATTAAAGTTGCTTCCCTCCCCCCACACCCAAACTAGCCATCCCACCACTCACTCTCCCTTGTTCTGTATGCGTTATCAGCAAGTGCCATGGGCATTATGCACTATGCAGGATTCAGCTCACGGTACAAAGAGGGGAGGTGGGTAAGAGGACAAGGTTTTGAGCATCGTGGAGCCTGAGGGAGGACACAGTATACTCAGAACAGCCTCTTCTCATTAGAACAGGTACATTCAGATGCTGCATGTTCAGATCATCTAGATATCACTAATTGCACTTGGTCTGAAGGTGTTCAGTTTTGTCTGATCAATGCAACTGGTCCAGCTGCCGCTAGGAAGTCTATTCAGGTTGCCTAATGGAGCATGCAGTGAAGGCACTCGGGGAGTGGCTACTTGGGGAGCAGTGATTTACTGTTACTGCAGAGCCCAGGAGACATCCCCTCCATTTCTCAGGGCTTCTGGCAAGGAGGCTGCAGGCATTGGTTTTCATAGAGTCTTTAAGGGAAGATGGGCCTTCCTGATTTGTGGCGATTGAGAAAAGAGACCCTATGGGATTGGTTGTTTTGTAACATCACTAGCTATGTTAATTTCTTAAAGTAATATATCAGAGAAAAGTATTTCCAATAAAATATGCTGTGTTAATGTAATTGAGACAGTTCATTCATCACACCTTTTACTATATTTTCCCCAGGCGATGCCGGATATTTCTGCTGGTAGTTAATATGTAAGCTGCATGAAGTGTCTGCTTCTTAATTAAGGAACTGATTGCAGTATCTTTTTATATTAACTTTCTGCTTAGAATATCTGTGGTATGGTACAAACTTTATCAGCATCATTATAGGTAAAATTTAGGTGGTGGGAGAAATATCTCTTCTACCAAACAGTGATGTATGTACTGTTATTTCAGCCAAGAAGCTAACCCAATAATTTAGGAATGAACTCCTATGGATTCAGTTAGGGATGTAAAATCCAGTTAGTAAGTTAATCTGCTAAATGTTATGATTAACTGTTAACTGATTAAACCTGCAGCTTGGGTGGAGTGCTCTTCCCTCCCCCCCTCCACCTCCTGTGTCAGGGGCTGGAGCTGGAGCTGATTTAGCCCTCATTAAGGGTGAAGTTTACCAGTTAATTGTTTAAACATTCACATTCCTACTTTCATTATGCCCGTGTTAACAGTTTGTAACCTTCTTAGTAGTTGTAGCTGACCTCCAAAGTTTGATTATGTCCTAACTCGTGCAAATACATTGTGTTGTTTATAAATTACCTTTCTTTTGCAAATGGTAAAGTATTAATAAACTATTAAGTGAAGATGCTGGTAGATGGTGATGGTGATGCTGGTAGATGGTGAAACCAGAAACCATATTGAGTGGGAGAATGATTTTTAAAAAAAGTGAGGAGAAAATATGAATGAATATAAACTGAAAGTTTGAAGACAAGATCTTTGAAAAGGATTAAGAAAAATGATAGAAAGAAACAAATGACAAAGGCCTGATCCAAAAGCTTTAGAAAACTGGGGGAGTCTTCCCATAGATTTGTTTCAGGAGCAGGATGAAAATAGCATTTTTTATTTAAAACTTGTTGCTGATGTTCATATGATAAAATCTGTTCCGTAGTCTTTTTAAAACTTGTGAATAAACTTCAAGCAATGAATAGGGCTTTAGTAACATGACACTTACTCTGTGTAATTTGTGCAGGGAAAACCCATTTACAACTTTGAAGATGTATGTTTTAAAAAAAATAATTTATAAAGCAAATTGTAATTTAACCTATAAATGAAATGTTTAGAGTATCTGAAAGTTCTGTAAGAAATATAGTATAAACAAATTTAGCTCTTGATCTGGAGAGTTATATTACTACAGACATTTCACAAGATTTTGTTGGCAGATTGATACTGTGGTATATTGCACCCTCAGTTCATTAGTAAAAATAACAGTTTATACAGTGTCAGACAAAACTAAGAGAAAAATGCCTTTTTAATTTTAGGTTGCCATTGTGCATATATGTGTATGTAGGAGCATAAATGTAAAGAAACAAGCACTTGTTTATGGTGGGAAGTAGATACACTCACAGTTCATACAGATTTTTTAAATACACACACTAGAAATGGTGACATTTCTCAGTGAAGATTTAACATTCTTACCTGAGCTGTGCAGTGAAGTGTCATTACCCAATTTCATTATCTGTAAAATGTTGTTTAGAAGATTTATTGGTGTATTATGAAATGCAGATAATTCAGATTAAATTGCAGCTGTCAAACCAAGAAAACATTTTGATGGCTTTCTTGTTTTTGGAACGTTGTAAATTGCCAAGTAATCTGTAGTGCATATCCCAATCATTGACAAGTTACTGACCTACTTTATATGTTGTTGTGCATCACAGCAAATTCCTGTTTATGGGGCCTTTCTATAATCCTGTTTTGGTCTGTATAGTGTCCTAGTGTTGTGATACATTTCTAGCCAGCAGTGTCCACTGATGCCATTTAGCCTTTCTCTGCAGAAGATTCTGAGAGAATAGATTGGTGCCTGATGGGCCATTTTGCACAGTCCCAAGATGCTCTGCACTCTATCCCGCAGTTCCACAACACCTAGTGACAGATGTTAACAGATGAATTAAAAAGGTGGACACATTCTGTTGACAAAGGGAGCCAGTGTAAACACAGTTTGGTGACTTTTTTTGGCAATTTCTGCGTGTCGACATTAGTTTACGCAACACAACTCCATAGTGTAGACATACCCTTAAAAACAACTGAAGGAGTCCAGTTGACAAAGCAAAAGCTGCTTGTTAGGGGGCTAAAAGTGCAGACAAACACAGTGTTTATCCTGCCTGACTTTTAGCAGAATGGCTGTCGACATAGTTATGTTGCTAAATGCTGTGTAATGTGGATATGCCCTCACAAAAGAATCCAGTTAACTCTCTCATAGTTGTTTTGTTTCTACAGTGTTAAATACAATGAAAAGCAGGAGAAGATTATCTAAATAAGTAGCTATAACTTAGTATATATCCAGGCAGCTGATCTGTGGAGCAGCAATGTTCTGTGTTTATTCAGGTAGTCACTTTTTTGAGCACATTCATACAGTACTTGAAAACATTTATGGTTAGATTTTCTTCATTGTTCTAGTAGGAAATATGAGCATTAATTGTAAGCCTGTAAAAGTCACATACATGGATGTTTAGCCATGTTGTTAACAGATGCAATTTCAAACTTAATTGCTTTTCTGGATGCTAGGGTCTGGAAATGTAGCCACAGGTAGCATCTGGGCCCTTACTTCTTGCCCTACTCTGCCTGGAGCTCCAGCTGGGCTTGGGGAGCAGAATCAGGGACTTCCCTTGCTCTGCTCATCTGGCATTTCTGCCAGCGAGCAGGGAGCATGTTCCCACTCTTTAGCAGGAGCACCTAGTGGGAAGATCAGGGCATGCCCCTGACTTCACTGACTGTCTAGAGTGCTGGGCAAGCATGGGGAGCAGGGCAAGCCCCCAGTCTAACTCTGCAGCTGGAGTGCCAGAGCGAGGCAAGCCCCCTGATGTCCTGATCCTTTCTCCCCATTGGAACTCCAGGTAGGCACAGCAGGGCAAACCCTGAGTGGGGGAAGTGGTGTGCATTTGTATGCCCCTCCCCCCATTTTTACAGAAGCTGCTAGCCAGAACATGTATCTCTCCCTTCCTCCTATGCAAGCTGGATGCACTCACTGTCCTATCCTAGTTATACCATTACCAGGGCCTGGCCTAAAACTAACTGAATTGTGGTGAGTCTTCTATTTCTTTACTAGTCTATGAGTTAGCCTCTCAATCAATAACAGAGGATCTCAAAATTTACTCCATCCTTCTCCTCCCCTCTCTCCAGTTATCAGTTCTGGTCAGTTAACAAAAGAGACACAATATTCAGTATACAAATTTAGTACACCTAGCTCTATAGAAGGCAATTTTGATACACTAAAGAATGTTTCAGAGAGTGTCTGTGAAAATTAGGTATAAGCGTGTAGTCAACTATTCGACTACCTGATATGCTTATGTTAATTGGATAGTCGAATGGAGTTCTCGACTACTCGCCCTTCCCCTTGCTGCCTCTGTATTAGCTGGTCCTGGGGGGAGCTGGCACTGAGGGATTGGGGAGGTTGCAGCCCCTGTCTGAGGGGGTCCCAGCAGGGAGCTGGGCCCCCTCCCGCTCCACGGACAGGGGCAGTTGCCACCAACCAGCCCCTGTTCACAGCGGGTGTTGGCTGGCCACAAGCAGAGTCTGCTGGACTTAGCATGAGCTGGGGCTGAGCAGTCCCAGCTCGCATTGGTCTGGGACACTGCGCCTCTGTGTTTTAAAAGTAGTAAGAGCCCAGTGGCTCCTAATACATTTAAATGCAGAGCTGCAGCAGTGTGAGTCGGTACTGCTCAGTCCCAACTCCAGCTGGCTCATGCTGAGGCTCTGCAGAGGGCCCCCTTATAGACTAATCATGTATTTGATAAAATTTTGATCTACTAAACAGATAATTGCAATTTAACATCCTTAATGAAAATAATAAGAGCTAATAAAGACATATGAAACTTGTTTATATAAAGTCATTTTTAAAGATCTCCTGATATTGCTGTATCATTGGTGCTAGTATTAGTGGCAGTTCTAGTGGTCTGGCAGCTAACCATTTTTGATCATGGCCCCATCTATTCTAGACCTGCTTTGCGACAGCTGGCTTACAATAGTACTCCCTTCGTTATTGGCAACTGGGAAAATGTCATTAATTGCAGCATATGGGCTGTTTGCTCTTTATAAACAACAAGCAAAATATTAATACTGAACTGCTATCCTAATTACTCAAAGCTTACTGTGAAATAAAGGTGTTTGTATGTTTACAGGCGCTCAAGAGATCTAGTACTGTTCAAACTTCAATATCAACCCTTTTCATTTTTCTCTTTAGGAGCTGTAGCACTTAAGAATCTTGAAATAAAAGAAAATGCACTGGTAAGTTCAAAGTGAGCAAAAATGAGATACTGTTGTGAGAATAAATGTTTGTGAGAATAAATATTTATTATTTGGACATTTAAACACCACGTAAGGATGAAGTTAGTGGAATTTTAGATGGAATATTAGTAAACAGACTAAGGATGTTAAGTATCAGGTAATTGACTAATCAAATAGTCAATGCATATTGCATCAACTATTTGATTAGTTGATAGGGCACATCCACGGTGGCATTTCAAAGCAGCAGCGCTGCATGGAGCCCAGGGTCAATGGTGGAATCTCCAGCTGATCCTGGGCTCCACGTGACGCTGTTGCTTTGAAATGCCGTGAGGAGCCTTGATGCTGAGCTCCCCATGGCATTTTAAAGTGACAGAGCCACATGGAGCCCGGGATCAGCTGGGGAGTTTCCAGTTGATCCTGGGCTCCACACGGTGCTGCCGCTTTGAACTATCTCCCTCCCCCTGCTACCTCTATCTGGTAGAGGCAGCAAGTGGGGGAGGGAAGCGTCTAGTCGACTGTCCATTAAGCATTTGCTTATCAGATAGTTAACTAGTCCTTCACATCCCTAAAACAGACATCTTTCATCTCAAGAGATGCATTGCTTTGGTCTTTTGAAAAACCTTCACAAGTGTTTTGTTCTGTAACTTTTATTGAATGCTCGGTTACTCTTATTTGAGAGGCCATTATAAAACAAAGTTACTGTTGAATCTGACTTGCATTAGAAGACATGGATCTTGAACACTGCTTAAGAGAGCAAAAATTGTTTTATGGTCTTGATTCTACAAATGCTTATTCACGTGAGTGTGAGAGTTGATGTTGGATTGTCAGCGCTGTTCCCCACTCTGGCGCTCCTCAAGTGCAGAAGATGGGGACCCAAAAGACACCTTAAATACCTTGCCTTTAAAGGCTCTGCTTACAAAAAGTCCCCAGAGTCACAGATTCATTGACTTTGGGAGATAGCTGCTACCATCAAGTGATTTAATCCCCCCATCCCAAAAAAACCAAGGAATAAACACTTAAAATTCTTCCCAAGGGGTACCCCAAGCTCTTTTGCCACAAGAGAGCTTGAAAAAATGAAGAACAAACTGTGTCCCTGATAGCTGATCTCTCAAGGCTAGGCAGGCACACACATAGACCTCTTGTTACCTTCCAGGACACAAGAATAAAATCATTGCTTTTAAAAAAAGGCAATTTTATTAACAGCAACGAAAAAGATATACTTGATAAAGCATACTTGATTGCTAGGTGTTACAGAGCAACTGAGAAAAGAACAGATTAAAACACAGAGAAAAATGGTATCTCTGGGCTGTAGCTTAAATATGGTGAGTGGGGAAGGTAAGGCATGGATTCATACAGATGTTTAACCAAACAACCAAAACAAAGAAAAAACACCCTGATTGTGACTAAATACACATTTTCCCCTTACTTACTCATAATCCCTTCGTGGTCCAGTCCACTTCCATTCCTGAATTCCTTTGAGGCATGGTAGTCCCGCCTGGGTATAGATAGTTTTAAACCAGAATTTGGAAGAAAGAGAATTAACACAAAGAGAAACACCAGCAGGTATATATTTACAATTTAAATTTCAGCACTGTATCCCATTGGTTCTTCTAACTACCTGCCAACAACATCTTTAGCTACCTGAGTTTAATCCTTCGCTGCTCCTATCCATCACTGGAGACTAAGCTACAAAACAGTAATTGAAATCAGGAAATTAAAAGTGAAGGCTTAGCCTTTGTCTTTTTTGCAATTTGGGGGAAAAAGGGAGCGTAATCTCATTAAGTTCATTTTTATCAAAGGAGCACTTCCATGTCAAACAACTTGTTTGAAAACCAAATATCCTCATTTTTATAGTGTAGATTATGTGTAGGCTTGCCAGGTGTCCGGTTTTGAACTGGACAGTCCATTATTTGAGCTTTCTTTTTGGGAAATAAATTGAGAAAATATAAATGAGAAAATATAAATGTCCGGTATTTTCTAACTAAGATGTAATGTAGATTGTGATGTAATGTCAAGTGTGTGTCAGGTATTTTTGTTGAATCCATCTGGCAACCCTAGTTATGTGGCTGTGTAGGTATGTATAAAAATAGCAGCATTATGTCAGTGAAGAATCTAGCATATATGGCATTGTTTGGAGGGGCATGACTAATTACTCAATACTTCAGACATAATGCTAATGAAAACAATATTTCTAAGGCCTAACTCTAAAAAGTGAGGAGGAGGTTTTTTAATTATTTTAAAAATATTACTCTTTTAAATGTTTGGCCTAATATTTAAGTTTCATGAGGAAGCTTGAATGACAAATACCACTCTGATCTAAAAAATATTTAGTTTTATGAATAACAAAAAAAATTGCTGTCTAGAATACAGTTACGTATGTTATCTAGTAAACATATTTGATTTATATTTAAATATATAACAATATCCTGAGGACATCAGGAAATATTAAAACGTGATGTTCTTGACGTTTAAAAATTATTTTTAACATTTAAAAATTATTTAAAGATTGTACAATCATGGAAGAAAATTCCTTCTTCCAGGAGTGTTGGAATGTTTGTTTGAAGACCTTGGATATTGTTTCCAGAGCTTCCAATGTGATATAGAAGTAGTGGTTTGCAGGGGTGGGAAGCCTTGCTTGTAACCAGGAAGGTTAACCAATGAGCACAGGTTCATTAGTTAACCATTTAAGCATTTTAACTATCACATTCCTAACCAGAATTGGTATGTTGGAAACTAGGCCTGATTGGTAGACAGCATAAGGGGATAGGTTACTGTACTGAGTGTTCCCTTTGTGGGTCCTTAAAGAGATTTTGGGGAGAGAAATTGGCTAGTAAAGCAAGCATCCGCATCATGGCCAACACTCCCACTGTCTCCTGGGACACCGGGCCTCGGTTATCCCAAGAGATGTCCTGACCAGGCCAGAGATTGGATCCAGAAGATATCAACAGGTCTTCTATGTCCAGCTGAATCCAGGAGACTGCTTGAGAGGAAATGTGATCAGACCTCAACAATAGTAGTATCAGCCTCTCTTAACTAATTGCTCTTTTCCCCAAGAGAACAATCATTAATATCTTAGATACCATATAAGAGCCTGTCAGACAAAGGTTCCTTCAGGAACTGTCTCCAGCTTAAGGGAACAAAGGATATTGTTAAGATGAAAGCCTTACTTTAATATTTTACACTTGAACTGCTTTGTTTTTCTTTTTCTTTATATTTATTAAAAGCTTGAGAGGATTTCTAATGGTTCATTTTCCGTGCTATTAAGCATACTGAGATCTCTCTAAACCAAGCCCCAGACTTTGTTTAATACCTTTTGACTCTCTGGGCCCATATAGTTCATCAGCGAAGCATATAGACAAGTTAAATAATTTTCCTTTATGAGCTCAGTGTCAGACTGTCTTTAAAACAACCAAAACAAAAAGTGATCTGATTCATTTTTCATTGTGCCTAGAAAGAGATTTTGCCAAGATCCACAGATCTAATATAATAAGTACTTCAACTTGCAGTTGCTATAGTTGGAAGCAGAACCAGATCTGTCAGTCACCCAATATAGAGGAATGACTTCCTCACTGAAGTGCTTCCCAGTTTTCCTGCAAGCGCACTGGGTGTACGTAAATACATCACCATCTCCATGAAGTGCTGTTTGTGGCTACAAGCTTCAGGTGAATTGAAGTGGCTGCAAAATATGATAGAAGATTTGTCCTTTAAAGGATCCGAGCTTTTTTTTCACTCAAAAGGCAGACATTGCAATGTGCACTGTAAAGTGCTCTTGTGCATATCTCTGTTCACTAGGAGTTTACACTCCAGTGACAAAAGCAGTTTAGGCCTCACCTTTATTAGAGATCCTTGATCGAGCAGAGGTCAGAAGATTCTACCATGAGAAGTTCTAGAGCTCCTCCATTGTTGTTAGCCAACTTTGTCTATAGGCCCTTCTCACCATATAGCCTCAGTCTCCAAGCAGTCATTTTTGATTGCTTGACAGTGACCATGTCTGCTTTGAAAGACAGCTATCTCACATTCTCTGTGCCTAGAAAGAGATTTTGCCAGACAAGTGGGTGCTCATAGTGAACGAATGATATGTTATCCAATTCTTCTTACTTCCTTATGCCAGAATACTCTCCCTATCTTTTTTCAGGGGTGCATCTTTTGAGACAATTTAATTTTAAGAAGTGCAGTCTCTTCTGGAATTGGAAATGATTGGGGAGTTTCCATACAAACAACTATTCCTTGTACTTCCTGCTCCCAGAAAAATCTGGTGGACTTTGCCCCACTCTAGATCTAGGAAACATGAACCTTTTCATTAACAAAGTCACATTCAGGATAGTCACTGTTGCTTCCATTAAACTATTATTCGAGACTGGAAATTGGTATGCTGCTTTCTGCGTAACAAAAATCTGCTCCACAGGAAGTACCTTTGAAACATAGCAGGAAACAATTACTATCATCTCACAATGTTCCCATTGACTACCGTTACCCAGGAGACTTCACTAAGTGCATTGTGGTGGTAGTGAACAATGATGATAAGTTTAGGTATTTAAATATTCCCTTATTTGAATAACTGGCTGGTTTGTGGAGCAATAACTGGTCAACTCCAGAAAATCATCCTTGTTATCAAGTAGCTGTTGTCTGACCTGAGACTATATTTGGAAAAAATCAAAGTTACAGCCAATACAGTACACAACCTTCATGAGGCAGGCCTTGATGCCATGATTGCCAAGACTTATCTCCAGTTCAAAGCCTTTCTGCCTGAAAGTTTTAAATCCAACCCAACGACAGTAGTGCATACCATCCTACAACTTAGATCCAGAGAACAGCAACAAACATGATTAAAGGTCTAGAAAGCATGACCTGTGAGGGAAGACTGAAAGAATTAGGTTTGTTTAGTATGGAAACAGAAGAGTAAGAGGAGACAAAATCACTTTCAAGTACCTAAAAAGTTGTTACAAGGAAGAGGGAGAAAAATTATTCTCCTTAACCTCTGAAGATAGGACAAGAAGCAATAGGCTTAAATTGCAGCAGGGAAGCTGAAGGTTGGACATTAGGAAAAACTTCATAACTGTCAGGCTGGTTAAGCACTGGAATAAATTGCCTAGAGAGGTTGTGGAATCTCCATCTTTAGAGATTAAGAGCACGTTAGACAAACACTTGTCAGGGATAGTCTGGACCAGGGATGGGCAATAAAACGGAGGAGATACACCAGGGATTTCCCCTCCTGAGCTGCTGTTGCTTTATTTACCTGTACCTCCATTGCTTGCAATTCCTGTTGGCAGTGGATCACTGTTCCTGGCCAATTGGAGCTGCAGGAAGTGGTGTGGACCGGGCATGTTCCTCCATTCCCCCTTGAAAGTGTGACCCACGGTTGAAAATCTCTGGTCTTAAACGGTTCTTCCTGAAAAGACAGTGGGATACAATTATATGAAGCTCTGGTCCTTGAGATCAAACAAATAGGCAGATCAGCTCTCCTGATGTCATTGTGGAAAACTTTATGGGAAAATTCAAGCTTAACCAAGGTATGGAAAATAAAGTCGTCTTACCATCCCGGTTCTTAGAAGCTGTAGGAAGGAATATAGATCATATATTGAAGTAGTTCAAAGGAGAGCAGCTGGGAGAAAATACCACTTTGCAAGTGATAGGTAATATAGTATGTTAATTGAGGTAACTAGTTTCCCTCAGTTCTATCTATCTGACTCCCAGTCAGCCTAGTCTAGAGTTAGACCCCTTCCCCCAGTTGGTACTATGCATGTTAAAAATTGTGTATTAAAATAACTATGTAAGTGCTGAAAATCTCAGAGATTAAATGGTTACCCATGCTACAGGCTCTGCGGTATAAAGCTTTTTTTTTTTTTTAATATTCTCTTTGCAGAGTCAGCTGGATGTACCATTTAAAGTAAAAGCAGGGCATATTGGTAAGTTGTGTTTTTGTAGCATGCACTACTTTTGTAATAAATGAATAAGAATTTGCAAATGTATTCTGTGCTCTTTCATTTGACTTTGAGCATTTCCAGTAGTTAATTTTCTTAAGGGGGCTCTTCAGTGTGTAAATGAATATGAATCAATTCATCCATTCTGGAATAAATGATATAATTTAGAAATGAAATTTCAGTCTGCCTGCTGTTTGTGCAAGAATTCCTCCTAAATGGTAGGGCCACCAAATTTGGTAGACAGCTTCCTCTTATCTTAAAGCAAGGTCAGGGTTTGCTTGTACCAGGAACATGGGAAGTGGCAGGAATGGGGCTTTTCTTTCCAACATGGAAAGGGGAGGGACAGAGAGAGGAGGGACGTGATCCTTATTTACCATTGGGACCAACGAGCGGAGATGGGATACTGAAGAGTGAGCACTGAAGATAGCCATACCAGCAAGAGACTGACCGGCTGGGGACAGGGCTCTGCATGTTGCCAGCCAGGCCACCACCTTATCTCTCTCTCCCTCCTCTTCTCTCCCCCACTCCATCTACAGCTACAGGGCCTAAATGTTACTTTCCTCTTACTATGGAGCCTGGGGGATTCTCTCCCCTCCTCTCCCAGCTATGAGGGGCCTGCATACTCTCTCTTCTCTGCTATTCCACACAGGTGCATGGAGATTTCTACTCCCCCATAAGGCTCCTATAGGGCCCAGTGATTTCCCCCACATGCCCTTCCACGTCACTTGGAGTTCCTCATGGGGCATAGAGATGCCCTCTGCCCCCTCCCCCACCTCTGGGCCTCTCCTCTTGGGTCCTGATGATTCCTTCCCCTCCCATCCTGCATCACTTCACCTTGGGTAGAGAGACTGTGTGCTTCAACTCAATTCACACACACGGTTGCCAGGTGTCTGGTATTTTTGCCTCCTGTCAGGTTTAAAAAAAAAAAAAAAATCAGAAAATACTGCACACAGGTATGCTGAATCTCAATCCGATATTTTTTCCTCATTCAAATCTATCCCTACGTGCACTTTTTTCATAAAGCTTACAGTAAATACTTAAATATTTTGGTTGAGCAACATATACATATACCTAAAATGTCCAATCCTGTTGCTGTTGGCCTTATCTTTCCTAATCTTATCTTCTCCCCACTCTTGTGTGTTTACCTTATTTCTAGAAAATTGTAACGTATCTAAAGAATTTAAAATTGTTAGACTGTTTTTCTGTTTGCTTTGAAAAGTAGCTAATATGCATTTGACTGTTGTAAATATAATTTCTTGCTCCTAACCTACATATTAGGGCAATTTTAGATTTTTATTTTTTAAAAGCCTTGTAACGTGGTTTTTAGTCAAATATCATTGCCTATTCTAACTCTTTCTTTTATATATACTAGGTCAACTTAATCTACAAATCCCATGGAAAAACCTTTATACTCAACCAGTAGAGGCTGTTTTAGATGGAGTTTTTTTGCTGATAGTGCCTACAGCTAGTAAGTTGAGTGAGAGGAAAACTATCATAGAGCTTTATTTTACTGTAATCCTATTTTAAAAATCACAGTAATAGATTATATATACTGTTTCTCTTATTCCCAGGAATTGCTGTTGCCTGACCCTAATTCCGTTTTTCGTATCTGATTTTGTGTTACTGTATTGTTAAATCTTTCTGTTCAATGTATTCAATAGAGATTTTTTCTTTATTACATCAAATTATCTTCAAAGATTTTTTCAGAATTTTTCATTTTATATAGTTATTTGTCTTAACTTTCTCTCTCTTCTGTACGTAGGCATAAAGTATGATGCTGAAAAGGAAGATAGACAGCTCCTAGAAGCAAAGCAAAGGGAACTACAAAGAATAGAGGATGCAAAACAGAAAATAGCTGACAAAGGTAAGGAGGAAAAACCAATAACATGGGCATGCAAATTGCTAGATTTTTTTTTAACTCCAAAACTGCCTGATGTTAAACTAATTGAATATGGCTTTTAGCAGATTAGTTTTAGCTATGTGTATTAACATATAAGTTAACTAATGCCCTTAACTAGTAGCTATGAAAATTGATGGCTACTGGCTACTACACATTTTTGTGCAGTATATTTACTTTATTTCCAAAGTTTCTGTGTTTCTTAGAAATATTTATGGTAGAGATAGGTCAACTATTATAGTTGGTATGTCAGTTACGTTATCTGGCTTTCAGGATGCATCTATTGCATAAACTTTCAAAATTAAACATGAATAGATATAAACAGGGCTTTGGAAATACGATTCACTATTTAAAAAAAATTGTTTGCCAAAACACACACGCTTTCTGATATGAAGCCATTTTAATTTTGCCTCCAACAACATAGAATCTCCTTGTATTTTTGTGGCAGTGCCTCTCTAAATCTTAATTCTACAACTTAATAAATGCCTTATTGAAAATTTGAGTGTTGAAAGAGTATACCTAGGACTGGACTTTGAAAGGTATATAGGTACCTAAAGGTGTAGGATGGGTACTAGTAACTTTTGAAAGTCTGTGGGTGTGCCTAACATCTAGAAGAGTGATAGAAATGTAGCCGTGTTAGTCTGGCATAGCTGAAACAAAATACAGGACTATGTAACACTTTAAAGACTAACAAGATGGTTTAATAGATGATGAGCTTTCGTGGGCCAGACCCACTTCCTCAGATCAAATAGTGGAAGAAAATAGTCACAACCATATATACCAGAGGATACAATTAAAAAAAATGAACACACATGAAAAGGACAAATCAAATTTCAGAACAGAAAGGGAATGGGGGGGGGGCAGGTAAATGTCTGTGAGCTAATGATATTAGAGGTGATAATTGGGGAAGCTATCTTTGTAATGGGTAAGATAACTAGATCCTTTATTCAGACCCAGGTGTAAAGTGTCGCATTTTAGCATGAATAACAGTTCAGAGGATTCTCTTTCAAGTGCAGTCTTAAAAGGCTTTTGAAGCAGGATGCAGGTAATTAAGTCGTTGAGACAATGTCCTTTCTGGTTGAAATGGCAAGAAACTGTTTTTTCTTTGTGATCCTGTCCAATATCTGTTTTGTGGGCATTGATCCTTTGGCGAAGTGTCTGAGACGTTTGTCCAATGTACATAGCAGACAGACACTTTCGGCACATGTTCGCATAAATTATATTTCTGGATGCGCAGGAATATGTGTTCTTGATCTTATAACTCACTTGGTTAGGTCCAATAATGGTATCAGGAGAGTGAATATGTGGACAAAGCTGGCAACGGGGTTTGTTGCAAGGGAAGGTACCAGGGGTGGTATTAGTGTGGTATGTCCTGTGGTTGTTGGTAAGAATCATCTTGAGGCTAGGTGGTTGTCTATAGGAGACTATGGGTCTGTCTCCCAGAGCCTCTTTGAGTATGGTATCCTGTTCCAATATAGGCTGTAGTTTATTGATAATGTGTTGGACAGGTTTAAGTTGGGGGCTGTAGGTGATGACAAGTGGTGTTCTATTGTTGGTTTTCCTGGGTCTGTCTTGAAGTAGATGGTTTCTATGTATTCGTCTGGCTCTTTCAATTTGCTTTTTTTATTTCTCCGGGTGGGTAGTTGAGGCTTATAAATGCTTGGTAGAGATCCTGAAGTTTCTGGTCTCTGTCAGTGGGATTAGAGCAGATGCGGTTGTATTGAAGGGCTTGGCTATAGATGATGGATCATATGGTGTGTTCTGGATGGGAGCTGGAAGCATGTAGATAACTGTATGAGTCAGTGGGTTTTCTGTAGAGAGTGGTGTCTAATTTTCCATTGTTGATTTGTACTGTGGTGTCCAGGAAATGGATCTCTCGTGTAGAATGGTCCAGGCTGAGGTTGATGGTGGAGTGTAGGTTGTTGAAATCTCTGTGGAATGTCTCCAGTGTTTCTTGGCCGTGCGTCCAGATCATAAAGATGTCATCGATGTAGCATAAGTAGAGAAGGGGTAAAAGGGGGCGGGAGTTGAGGAAATGTTGTTCTAGGTCAGCCATAAAGATATTAGCATACTGTGGGGCCATGCGTGTACCCATGGTTGTGCCGCTGATCTGGAGGTATAAGTTGTTCTCAAACTGGAAATAATTGTGGGTGAGAACAAAGTTACATAGGTCTGCTATCAGGTTGGCAGTGGTCTCCTCTGTCTAACATCTAGAAGGATTTTCAAAATCCTGCTGGGTGCCTGTCTGCATTTTCAAATGCCTTTAAAATTCTTCCAATGTACACTGGTGGCTTAAACAGTACCCTTAAACAGGAAAAGGCCTTAGAAAACAGCGATGTAAAGATTATGAAAGTAAAGTGAAGGGTACTGTTTGATACCACTCCAGAACACTATACCAGGCTTTTATAATTAGGAATAAGTATGCTCCTAACAATGTTGATTCCTGGAGTCTAATAAGTTAGAACATTTATAATATTTAAATTATTTCTCAGTCATAATTTGAGTAAAATATATATTTAAATATTTATTTCAATTTAGATAAAGAAAAAGAAGAAAAACAAGATACCTTTGTAGAAAAATTAGTCACTCAGGTCATCAAAAATCTTCAGGTGAAAATTTCCAACATTCATGTTCGATATGAAGATGATGTAAGTATATATGGAACATTTAGCTCTTGTTTATAATTTTCAGTTATGATGGATAGACCCCAGTTTGTTTCTTTTCTCCTCCTTACACTTTCTACGTTGTGAGGGAACTTTTAACATTCCATCTGTTTTTGTCTTTTCTAAGGATTATGCTGTGTAATAAATTAAATAGCATTGATTGAGATTTCTAAAACTACTAAAATAAGTAAATACAAAAATAAATTTGGAGTTCAAAGTACAGAAAATAAGATTGCATAATTGAGCGGACATTTTCAAGCAATTATTCTCATGTTGCAAGTTTATTATTTTCTTTGCATGAATTCTGATTTTAAGTAATTCTTTTTGTATTTTTCTTCTTATTAGATCACAAATCGAGAGATCCCCCTGTCATTTGGGGTCTCACTTCAGAATCTCAGTTTGCAGGTAATTTAGTTTTATACTTGAAAGTATCCAATAGACTGATTGTGTTATAAGGAATATTAATCTAGTAAATTTAAAGATGGATTTGGTATACTGATATTGTTGCTAATGATATACTTTCCTAGGAAAAAGACCTAGGAGATTGAACTATGCACAATAGCTGTCACTTTATGGAACATGAAATCTAGCATACAGCTGTAAAAGTCATGTAGTGCAGCAGTACTCACTAGAAGGGTTTGAATTCTAAATCTCACCATATTGTACACTAAGGGTATATGTCCACTGCATGTCCCAGCTACCTTGCAGAGTGCTTCTAGCCCGAGCCCACGTGTCTGTACTACAATTAAATAGTCTTCAGTGCCAGCCTGAATCAGTTTGTACACAGGCCAGCTATAGGTTATACGCCAATTGGCCTGTGTAGATCAGTGCTTCTCATATTTGATCATGCTCCCTTCTTTGTATCTGTACAGGCTGAATTACTCTAGTCTGGCACCCTTGAGACCTGACCAGTGCCAAACCAGAGAAATTGCTGGTCCACGGGAGGTCAAAATTGTCTAGCAGCAACAACACTTCCACTGCTTACTAGGCTCTTCAAAGGCCTTAGGGGGTAAATTAGAGCTAAATAACTGCACAGAACACTGAGAGCCAGGACTGCTGGCTGTAAACAAACTTTGTGGGACTGTGGGAAACTTGGCCACATCCATGTTAAGTGGACATCTGGCTAACTAAAATCATGCTGGATCACAGATGTTTCTGGACCAGAGAATGCTGAATTAGAGAGGTTCAACCTGTAGTAGCTTATGCCCTCTCCTACCATACAAGTACATGTACTGTACTGTTTTTAAAAAATACGCCTATCACTAAATATGAAGAACAGTAAGATATTGATTCATATAGCCCTGTGGGGTTCAACACGCTAGCCACATATGGTGGTTTAGCTGGTTAAGTGTGGCTAGCTTGCCATAGCAGTGGTTACTGCTTCAGAACTGGTTGAACACCATTGATTGAGCTATTTAAGAATACTGTATAGCTCTCTGGCCCAGCTCTCTGCGTTCAGCTCTGAAGGCAGCACCTCCACTAGCAACAGCAGGAAGGGTGATAACTGTTTCTCTCCAGGTATTGTCAGAAGTAAATTAATGTGTCTGATAAATAATTGACATAAACATGCTTTTATTTAAAACTGTTAGATATAGTGCACATATACATATGCAGTAGGTTTAGGACGTTCCAGATATAGTTACCTATAGTCTAAGGTGGTTTCTAGTGATCCCCAGTTGGGCTTCCAGGGGTCCTCTTTCTGCCCAGCTGATGGGGCACTTAAATGTCAACTCCTTCCCTGAAGACAATCTCTTGGATTGTTCTCGGGTATTTATTTTTACCTATCTTTTATAGCTAATTCTAGCACATCACATATCCTATAGTGACTCCTAGTGGATCAACATATAACCTCTATTATATCACCAATTCTCCTAATTTCAACAAATTGTTCATCTCAAAACATTTCTAACAGTATATCAGATCAACATAAAATCAAGGTAGCTATTCACTCACTGTCTTCCATAACTTCTTATCCCATCCTCCCATTCTGATGATAAACTGCAAGTATGCTGCTGTCTGACCATGTCTCTCAAAGGCCAAAGATTATTCTTTGCTGTGTGATACTTGGTTTTCAGCTGCCAATGGCTGAATCTACAAAGTGGCTGACTGTAATATTGTTAAGTTCTGGGGTACATTCAGGAATGACGAATTCTGGGTTAACAGTGATGCTGCTTTCAGATGTAGGACTTGGCTAGCTGCCACCACTTTGCTTTCTCCCCCATCTGCTCCCCCAAGAAAACATCTGGCATTGAGGTTCCATGCTGATATGCATAAAAAATTCTCTAGTATAGCTGGAGTATGTCTTGCACTGTCTGAAGTTGCTTACAACTGGGAGAGCCTACTTCAGGGCAAACTGTCATCAGAAAACAAGTCAGATGCCTCAATTTGGTGGTATGTTCTGTAACTAGATTTCACCAAACCAGTGATCAGCATGAATTCCTGTATCATTGTACTGGTCACATGGTGTGTCAGAACCATAGACTTGCTACCCCAATCAACTTGCTGTGCAGACAAACTGGACTTTGTGATACAAGGACAATTAAACCAAAAATCATACCACAGCAGGTTGCTCCACGAGGCCACTTACCTTAGATCAATTGATGATCTAGATGCTACACCAAAACCAATCTGGTAGCCATTTCTATAGTAAAGTGACTAAAGGTTTGTTAGCTAAGAAAAGGAAATGAGAGTTTTTGAGAGGTTAAAGCAGATAAAACACGTGCACAGGTGAGTTCATTTGTAATTCCAAATGGTTGCAGTGATTTAATAAAAAATATTTTCAGGGTAACTAGAGTGTGTTTGGTAATCTCCACTTTTTATCTGGTTCACTCCCTCTGAGTCCAAATACTCCAAAGATCCAGGATCTTTCCTTGAATCCATACTTACTGCTTCTTCTCACAGAAACAGTGTCAATGTCATTACCCACATGAGTTTTTTCTTTGACAGTGAAAAGTGAGGAATGCATTTTGAGTCTTTGACCTCTGATCATCACACACAATGACCATTTGCTTTGAAATTAGCACTTTAACAGAAAAGTTCTTCATTTGCATTCTACAAGGCTTCTTTCTTTTTTATTATGGGGTATACACAAAGTAAATGTTTGTTCCTACATTATAACAGGATGCAAATAATATACCATTTGTTTTCATGATGCTTTAACTCCAAATAAACTCATATATCTAACAGTCATTTTGATCAATACTAATGCATGAGTGAATTGGCCTTGGACTCTGTCATGAGCTGGCATCTGATCTGCTATCTGTGTATTACTTTTGAATCAGTACTATGTTAATGTATTGTGCATTATGGAAGTTTGTATGTGTCAGCAGGGTCTACATGGGCAAGTTGGAGTGCAACATCCTGTGGCTTTTTAGAATTCACGTCCCTTTAGTGTTCGCTGTATAAGCAAATTCTCTGACTCTACTAGCCCTGAGACCTCAAGTTAGTCATAGGAATTGCCAGTATCCTAAATACAAAGGGTGATAGCTTCTAGAACTCATTTCTCACTGTTCCAGAGGCTGTCTTGTATCTGTACTCCATGTTAATAGATGCATCTTCCAATTTTAGACTCAGATTACAACACTGATATTTTAATTCACTTCTCACTGAAGATTATTGTACCACCAAAAAAAATTGCTACAAAATATGATGCTAGCATTACATTGCAACCACCATATCCTAAGTAGTTACTGCACTTATTAAGAAAAGAAAAAGTGTAAATGGAATTTAATCACGTTAGTCAGATGCTCAGATTTTAAATGATAGAATTGAAGCTGCCACCATTCCAGAATGTACTCTAAAAGAGTGGAGGTGGTGAAAAGTAGTGACTAGATGAAGTTTTTGTGTGTAAAGGAGTGAGAGAAAGTCCTGAGTAGTCTCTTGCCTAAGTCATTAAGTCAAGTGGGAAGTAAGAAAAAAGCTTAGAGAACTCTAAAAATGTTCAGGAATGGAAAAATGGGAATGGTGTGTTTTTGTTTTTCCATAAGCTCTTTTTTATTTATTTTATTTTTGTTTTTCCATATATTTAAAGATGTAGAATCCTAGCAAACCAATCAAACTTTTGAAAATAGGATTAAATATAGTTTCACATACAACCACTGCCCCACACTGAAAAACCTAGCTGTTCTATATTGTTGCGTTGATGACAGACTAACAGGAAGATACGTGGAAAAACAATAAAAAGATGTATTTAGCAGCTCTTTATGTAAAGTCAAAACAAGCCAAAAATAAATTCCCTCCCATTCTTAATTTCTCGGGATGTCTGTTGCAAAAAAGGTATGTTCTCAATTTGAGTTAAAATAGCAATGAAAACAAGGCATTTTGGGTTTTTACTTGTTTTATCAGCTTGAGTTCAATCCCATGTTCCTCTACAACAGTGGTCCCCAAACTTTTTCTGTCATTCCCCTCTCCTTTAATGTAGGACACCTCAGACTCTTTGAAAACAAGCTGAGCCTTCTCTTCAGTCCTGTCGGGGGTAGGAGAGAGCCAGTATCTTTGGATGGTGTTTCTCACTAGTCACCATCCCACAGAATCTGCTAAAAAAAAGTCCAAGATTTATCACTTCCCAAGCCCTGCTCCTTCCAAATCTGTGTGACACTGTGATCTGTATCTGCCAGATGATAGTCTTTTTGCACTGTCTCTACTGATCACACAAATTCAAATCAGATATCAAGTTACTACCTGTCTGCAACTTCTTGGGTGTGTGGTAGCTTGTATTTTTGTCATGTTTCATGCTTGACTGTAGTTGTGTTGCTTCCAAGCCAGTTCAAGTCCATTTATACAAACCCAACAGAGACAGTCTATACTAGGGATGTAATAGTATAGTCGATTAACTGATAAGCGAAAGCGTATAGATTAATGCTATAGATTACATGCATTTCCTTCCCCACCTTTTGCCTGTACATTTTTTAGCTGGCTGGCCAGCAGCCCAGCTCAGTCCCAGATTGCACTGGGTCCTGAACTACCCCCGCTGCAGCTCTGCATTTAAAATGTGTTAGGAGCCAGGCGGGCAGGCAGCCCAGTTCAGTTCCGGTGTATGCCTGGTTTGGGAGCTCAAACCCCTCCCCCCCCCAGGACAGGCGCTGCTTGGGGATTATGGAATAATCGACTAACCAATAAGAATTCATGAGGTTAATCGACTATTCAGCTAACTGATATTTAACATCCCTAGTCTATACATGTTGCTCTCAATCTCCTGTCCCTCAGTCACCAGTCTAGTTGCTCCCCACAGTCATTGAGGTCAGCCTCAGGGAACTCCTGATACTGAGGAGAAGGGAATGTATTCATTCACCATCTAGGGCATTGGCCAGTGTCGGGTCTGCAAGCACTGTTTTGGAACCTTTCTCCCGTCCTTCAGCACAGACATCGGCACCCTCTTCAATGTTGCACCAGTTGGTACTGCAGGC